GATCTTCCATGTGAGTGGCAGAGCCCAAGCACTTGAGCCATTACCTACTGCCTCCTAGGGTACACAAAAGCAGGAAGTTGGATCAGAAAGAGAGTAGCCAGGACTTGAAACAGGCGCTCTGATACGGGATACAGGCATTCCAAGTGGCAACTTCAGCTGCTATGCTAAATGTCCATCCATCTCATTTTCTTGATAGTGTTATCTGAAGTAAATGTTTTTAATTTTTATGAAGTACAGTTTTTCAAATTGTACTTAAGCTTTGGGTGTTCTATCCAAAAAATCACCACTTAATCCAATGTCATGAAAATTTATACCTGTTTCCTGCTAAGCATTTTATAGCTCCAACTCTTAATATTTAAGTTTCCTATCAACTCTGAGTTAATTTATACAAATCATATAGCATAGGAGTTCATTCTTTTATATGTGGGTATCCAGATGTAATAGCACCTTTTGTTGAAAAAAAATTATTTTCTCACTGAATACTCTTGGTACTTTTGTCACTGTATTTTCAAAAATATATTTTATTTATTTATTTGAGAGATAAGAGTCACAGACAGTGAGAGGAAGACAGAGAGAAAGGTCATCCATCCACCAGCCCACACCCCAAGTGTCTGCAATGGCTGGAGCTGCACTGATCGGAAGCCAGGAGCCAGAAGCCTCCTCCAGGTCCCCCACGCAAGGCCCTAAGAACCTGGGCCATCTTCCACTGCTTTCCCAGGCAATAGCAGAGAGCTGGACTAGAAGAGGAGCAGCTGGGACCAGAACCAGCACCCATATGGGATGCCAGTACTACAGGCTGAGGATCAATCTATTGAGCCACAGCTCCAGCCCCAACTGTCTGTATTTTTAACTACTATAAACAGGTGTAGTTTGGTCATGATATAGTTCTTACTATTTGAAAAAAAAAAAATAATTCTTACTATTTGAGATACTATGCAAAAAAAAAAAAAAAAAGAAAGTCTAAACACCTTCAGGCAGTGAGAGAACCACTTAAGAAGGAGGGAGACAGGTTTTGGAAAAAAAAAAAAAACTGTAATAGTTCAGGGGCATGTGTTATGGTGCAGAGGATCAGATGGCCACTTGAGATGCCCAAATCCTGTATCAGAATGCTGAGTTCAAGTTCTGGCTACTCCATGCTTCTAACCTAGCTTTCTACCAATCCATCCTGGAAAGCAGCAGGCAATGTGGCTGAAGTACTTGGGCCCCTGATAACCACCCACATGGAAACCTGGAGAGAGTTCCAGGCTCCTGGTTTCAGCCTGGCCTAGCCCTGAGTGTTGTGGGCATTTGAGGACTGAACCAGTAGATGGATAATTTCTCTCTCTGTCACTCTGACTTTTAAATAAATACATTTTTAGTAGAACTCATATTAAAAGAGCAGAAGGTTAAGCCACAACCTGCAATGCCAGAAACCTGTATCAGAGTACTGGGTCAAGTCCCAGCTGCTCTGCTTTTAATCCAGCTCCTTGCTAATGTACCTGGGAAAGCAGTGGAGGATGGCCTGGGTATCTGGGCCCCTGCCACCCATGCAGGAGACCTGGATGGAATTTCAGGCTCCTGCCTTTGGCCTGGCCCAGGTCCGGCTGTTGTAGTCATTTGGGGAGTGAGCCAGCAGATGGAAGATTCCTTTCTCTCTGGCTCTCCCTCTTTGTCACTCTACCTTTCAAAAACAGTAAAATAAATCTTCAGAGAGAGAGAGAAAAAAAAAAAAAAAACAGAAAAAGAGACAGAGAGAGAGAAAAAGGAAAGGGAAAGGAAGGGGAGGGGAAGAGAAAGGAAGGGGAGGGATGGATGGATAAGGAAATACAAATGCTATTTACCTAGATTTGACCAGTACATGCTGTATACATGTGCTGAAATGTCACACTGTACCCCATAAATATGTAAAATTATTATCTGCTAATAAAAAACTAACACAGAAAGTTTTCTATTGAAATTGGTAATTAAAAGGAGAGCATTAATCTTATCTTTACTGTTACAAACCATATATCAGGGTTAAAAAATAGCTGGGGCCTGTGTTGCGGTATAGCAAGCTAACCTGCCACCTGTTAACACCAGCATCCTATAACAGAGCACTGGTTCAAGTCACAGCTGCTCTGCTTCTGATCCAGCTCCCTGCTAATGTACCTGAAAAAGCAGCAGAAGATGGTCCAAATTTGGGACCCTGCCACCCACATGGGAGAACCAGATGGAGCTCTGGACTCTTGGCTTCAGCCTGGACCAGCCCCGGCTATTGTGGCCACTTGGGGGAGTGAACTAGCAGGTAGAAGATCTCTCTCTCTCTCCATCTCTTTTCTGTTTAAATAATTAAATAAATCTTAAACAAAATAAAAGACAACAGAAAAATAGCCTTGATTTAAGAGGGAAAACCCAGTTAATGAAAATAGAATTAGAAAAATATCATCATGGAAAAAATGCCATCATATAATCCCTAATGAATTAATTTATTTAGGAAGTAATCATTAATGGGTGAGAAAATTTCCAAAAAAAGTTGATTTAGAACTTTAAAATGGAGGTATCAGGCAGTAAGGTGCTGCATCCATTGATCAATTGCAGCAACTCTGTCATGAGGAAAGCAGGCATTGTTTGAAACCTTACCTATGAAGAAATCTCGTCAGCAAACAAAACAGCTAAACTCCAATCTAACTGAGCTCTAGAGCTAACTTATATTTACAAGAAATACAGGGAATTTTAGAACAAAGCAATATGCAAGGAGATAAAGAATTTGGGGTCTTCTATAGGATAACTGACATGGTTCTGCAATAAATCAATGACAGGAAAAAGAGGTGGGGGAGGTGTGCAGGGGCTACTCTAGATTAAAAGATTTAAGTGATGCAACAACCAACCAGGATCTCATTTGAATTTTTAAATTTTTTTTTTTTTTAATTTTTTTTTTTTGACAGGCAGAGTGGACAGTGAGAGAGAGAGACAGAGAGAGAAAGGTCTTCCTTTGCCGTTGGTTCACCCTCCAATGGCCGCCGCTGCAGCCGGCGCACCGTGCTGATCCGATGGCAGGAGCCAGGATCCAGGTGCTTCTCCTGGTCTCCCATGGGGTGCAGGGCCCAAGCACCTGGGCCATCCTCCACTGCACTCCCTGGCCATAGCAGAGAGCTGGCCTGGAAGAGGGGCAACCGGGACAGAATCCGGCGCCCCAACCGGGACTAGAACCCGGTGTGCCGGCGCCGCAAGGTGGAGGATTAGCCTATTGAGCCACGGCGCCGGCTCAGGATCTCATTTGGATCCTGATTTAAACAAACCAGTTACAACGATAAAGGAGCTATATGGATATGAACTGGGTATTAAGAGCTATTAGGAAATTATGATTAATTTTGCTACTAGTCATGTGGTTACATTAAAAAATGTCTGTATATTTTGGGGACTCATGCTGGAGTATACAGGGTTGACATGACTTGATGCCTTCAATTTGCAAAATAAAAGCCTTAAAGAATTTTGCACATAACATCTAAATTAAGTAATTAATAAAACATTTTAATTATTACTGAATCCAGGTTCTAGGCATACGGGGTATTATACTCTATTCTATACATGGATTTTGTGTATAATGGTACAATTCATAATAAATAAATAAATAAATAAATAAAGTATTTAAAAGAACATATATGGACTTCAAAACTTTGTTACCACTTGTAGAAAATAATCTTTAATCTCTAGCACTGGCATTGTGGCATAGTGGGTAAAGCCACCACCTGTGAAGCCGGCATCCCATATGGGCACAGCTGCTCCCCTTCCGATCCAGCTTCCTGCTTATGTGTCTGGGAAAGCAGTGGAAGATGGCCCAAGTGCTTTGGCCCTGCACCCACATGGGAGACCCAGAAGAAGCTCCTGGCTCCTGGCTTCAGCCTCACCCAGCCCTGGCCATTGCAGCCATTTGGGGAGTGAACTGGCAGATGGAAGATCTTTTTCTTTCTCTGTCTCTCCCTATCTCTATACCCTAAAGGTATAAAAATGCCTCAATTTCTTTGTCAGGCAAAAGAACTCTACATTTTTTCACTACAGTTCTTCTTTTGGGCTAAAGGAAAATTAAGAAAGTAGAGAACCTCTGTAGATTCTTTGATATAAAACAATGCTTATGAGGTAAATCAGTTATATCTAACTTCTGCCTTCCTTCCCTCAGGGATAGATTTGCCTTTGAATTGACAGACATGACCATAACTTTTGAACTTGTTCAACTTCTTGCCTCCATCTAAATACAACTTGGCACTCACACTCCCATGCTTTCTTCCTGAGTTAATGGACAGGGCGGTGGTTCCTCCTTCCCAACTGAGCTAATTCTCTGGCTCCCACCCATCTTGCAAAACTTTGTGAGTAATAGCCTTTCTTACCTAGATCTTTCACTCTCATTTAGGCAGCTCCGCCTGAGAACTTTTGTCTTTCTCATTTTTATTCAAACTTTTCTCAGAGTCAACAATGACTTTCCTTACATCGCTTTGATACCCTAAAATTAACACATCAACTATTTTCTGTTTTATTTAATAACATCTCTACCACCAATTTTCAAATTCAATTCCAATTTCAAATGTTCCCTCTGATTTGTTAGGAGAGAGCAAACAGAAGCAGCTATGATTTTATTTGTTTGAGATGTTGGGGGTCCTCCAAAAAATTTAATTTAAAAATAGCATTTCACTAAGAAGGTCCTACATGCTTTAAAAACCAGGATCTAAACATTACCAATTCCATTTACAATTTTAAAAATTATTTAGTCTTTCCTTTATATGGTCATGACTTCTGCTTTAGAAAATAAATCTCTTTAGATCTAGGATTTTGTTCTATTCATCATTATACCTCAGGGCCTCAAACATTCATTGAATGAATGAATGAACGGTGCTCTTATACATAATGGACAAGTAATTATACAAACTTCAAAGATTAAGAACATTTTGTAATTAAGTAAATGTAAACCAGCATTTACTTAAGCTATAAACTTAATATGCATTTCATTTTAAGAAGCATCTTATATCACATTCTCACAGCTATCTTACCCAGTGTCCTCCATTAATGCCAGAGTGATTCGAGAGAGGACTCGGTTCTGGGTATGAGAACCAGTCATTGCTTCATTCTGAAAATCACCAACATATTTGAATTAGAAGACTGCATTCTGCAACTCCCAATAACTTGTAATTCCTCTGATGTAGATTCAAAATGCTTTAAGTATAAGAGTAGGTCAAAGTGTTCTGCAAAATGATGCAACAGGGGTCGGGGCAGTGGCTTAGAAGATTAAGCCTCCGCCTGCAGTGCTGGCATCCCATATGGGTGCCGGTTCCAAGTCCTAGCTGCTCCAGCTCCCTGGTAATGTGCCTGGGAAAGCAGCAGAAGACAGTCCAAGTACTTCTGAAAGTAAAATCTATTGTCTGCCTTAAATGTCTCCATTGTATTTCACTTCCCTGGAACGGTAAGCAATCAGCATTTAGAACTCAGTGATGACAACGAAGATAAACAGGTAGGTAGGTAGGTAGGTAGGTAGATACTATGGTAAAAATATACTGTCTTGGCAAAGTAAAGAAGGAAGCTGAGAAAGATGACTAAATAATTGAGGTAAGGGAAATAGTGCTTTCATAACCTTCAACTTTGTTCACAGGAATATATACAAATATGCAAAGCAAGTATCACACAATCGTGGAACGAAAGAATTTACATGAAGAACCTAAAATAACATCAAGATATACTGTCATCTTAATATTTTAATTCATATCATACAATTATTACCAGGAGGTTATCCAACAGTGGGAAGGCTTGTCTGTCTCTTAATGGAGCATTTCCCATTCGTATTTTAATTATTCTTTGGATGTTTACATTAAACATTGGACAGTCATCTCAAGTACTTTACTACCATCCTTTAAAAATAAAATCGTTCGGGCCGGCGCCGCGGCTCACTAGGCTAATCCTCCACCTAGCGGCGCCGGCACACCGGGTTCTAGTCCCGGTCGGGGCACCGGATTCTGTCCCGGTTGCCCCTCTTCCAGGCCAGCTCTCTGCTGTGGCCAGGGAGTGCAGTGGAGGATGACCCAAGTGCTTGGGCCCTGCACCCCATGGGAGACCAGGAAAAGCACCTGGCTCCTGGCTCCTGCCATCGGATCAGCGCGGTGCGCCGGCCGCAGCGGGCCGGCCGCGGCGGCCATTGGAGGGTGAACCAACGGCAAAGGAAGACCTTTCTCTCTCTCTCTCTCTCACTGTCCACTCTGCCTGTCAAAACCGTTCGGGGCCGGCACTGTGGCACAGTGGGTTAAAGCCCTGGCCTGAGGCGCCGCATCCCATATGGGTGCCGGTTTGAGATCAGGCTGCTCCACTGCCTATCCGGCTCTCTGCTATGGCCTGGGAAAGCAGTAGAAGCTGGCCCAAGTCCTTGGGTCCCTGTACCCATGTGGGAGACCCAGAAGAAGCTCCTGACTCCTGACTTCAGATTGGCTCAGCTCCAGTCGTTGCAGCCATTTGGGGAGTGAACCAGCGATGGAAGACCTCTCTCTGTGTCTCTACCTCTTTCTGTAACTCTGTCTTTGAAATATATAAAATTAATCTTAAAAAAATAAAATAAAACCATTCAAAGACACAAAATTGATTTCAGAGAAAGGAAGAAGTTAATAAAATCACTACTCTGAGGTCTTCCTCTGAAAAGCACATTAATTTTCACTTTTTTTTTTAAAGATTTATTTATTTATTTGAAAGTCAGAGTTACACAGAGAGAGGAGAGGCAGAGAGAGAGAGGTCTTCCATCCACTGGTTCACTCCCCAGATGGCCACAACGGCCGGAGCTGTGCTGATCCGAAGCCAGGAGCCAGGAGCTTCATCTGGATCTCCCACGTGGGTGCAGGGGCGCAAGGATTTGGGCCATCTTCTATAGCTTTCCCAGGCCATAGCAGAGAGCTAGATCAGAAGTAGAGCAGCTGGGACTAGAACCGGAGCCCATATGGGATGCCGGCGCTTCAGGCCAGGGCATTAACCCACTGCGCCACAGCGCCGGCCCCTAAAATTCACTTCTGACCAATCCATAGCTTTCTCTCTTTCTTTCAAGATTTATTTATTTATTTATTTATTTGAACGAATTAGAGAGAGGGAGACACAGAGATCATCCATCTACTGGTTTACTGCCCAAATGGCTGCAACATTCAGGACTGAGATAAGCTGAAGCCAGGAGCCTGGAGCTCCTTCCAGGTCTCCCACATAGGTACAGGCTCCCAAACACTTGGGTCATTCTCCACTGCTTTCCCAGGTGCATTAGCAGGGAGCTGGATGGGAAGTGGAGCAGCCAGGACTTTCAATTAGTGTCCATGTGGGATACCTGCGCCACAGGCGGTGGCTTTACCCTCCATGCCACAGCACCTGCCCTATGGGTATAACCATTAAGAGGATCTGTAAATTATGTCTATGGAATTTTTAAAATTATCATTACTTATTTATTTGAAAGTCAGAGTTACAGAAAGAGAAGAGAGACAGAGACACAGATCTTCCATCTGCTGGTTCATTTCACAAATGGCTACAATGGCCAGGGCTTGGCCAGGCTGAAGCCGGGAGCTTGGAACTCTATCCGGATCTCCTACGTTGGTGGTAGGGGCCAAAGCACTTGGGCCATCTTCTGCTGCTTTCCCAGGCACATTAGCAGGGAACTGGATAGGAAGTGGAGCAGCCAGCACTCAAACTGGCACTCATATAGAATGCCAGCATCAGAGTTGGTGGCTTACCCAGCTATGCCATAATACTAGCTCCAATGGGACTCAAAAATGATGTTGGTCCCTATTTTGGACATAGTTTACTTATGCAACAGGCTGGTTCTTGTATCTATCCGTTGTGGTCTTTTGTTCCAGTACTTGAGATGGAGAGGGTGGGGGAGAGCCACAGATGACAGATAGGCCCTAGAAAACTGTGTGGAGCACAGGGGGGTTCTTTTTTTTTTTTTTTTTTTTTTTTTTTTTTTAAGATTTATTTATTTATTTGAAAGTCAGAGTTACACACAAAGAGAAGGAGAGACAGAGAGAGAAGTCTTCCATCCACTGGTTCACTCCCCAGATGGCTGCAATAGCTGGAGCTGCGTTGATCCAAAGCCAGGAACTAGGAACTTCCTCCGGGTTTCCCAGGCGGGCGCAGGGCCCAAGGACTTGGGCCATCTTCCACTGCTTTCCCAGCCCATAGCAGAGAGCTGGATTGGAAGTGGAGCAGCCAGGACTCAACCAATACCCATATGGGATGCCGGCACTGCAGGCGTTGGCCTAACCCACTATGCCACATCGGCGGCCCCAAGGGAGATTCTTGACTCTGCCATGCTAGCATGCAGCGTGTTCTAATATCTTTCTAAGCAAATCTTTTGCTCCTTTTCTCTACCATCTGGTGAGTTTACCTGACTGTTACTTACCGTGTTTTCTCAAAAGACTTTCAGAATCAAGAGATTCCTGGCCAAAAAGAAAAACAAATTGCCTCATTCTCCAACGGATTTGGACAAAAACCTGGTAATAAAATACGTCCAACTCCTCCAAGAGGAGACACTGGAGAACTACACTGGGTCTAAAGGAATGCACTTGCAATGGCACACATCTTTATGCTGTATCAAGGTCACTAACTTAACCATATCCCATTAATGATATGCCACCACTTCTAGACAGCCAGGCATGTTCAGTTGGGGGTGATTAGTGGGTTGGTACAGTAACAAGTGTGTAAAAATTCTGACGAAAAAAAAAATCTTTTATCATGTGAGCAGTTTAGGTCTTGTATGTTTGATTGTTCAATTGAGCCTAAGAACACTCACTGAAACACTACCCCGGGAGGGGATTCAGGATATAATTAAGTATCGCTTTACAACATTTTAAAAATTAACAATTTAAACTACGGTTTTTCATTAACAGCAGACGGTCATATTACATTCATATAATGCTATTTAAAAATTAGGACATTCAAGTATTATCGTCTATTCTGCTGAAGCGTGTTTTGGCAGTGTGAATAAATTCATGTGAAATTGGAAAATAAGAAAGTGACATCAACATAGCACGGAATCATGTTGGTTCATAATGATTTTTTCCTGGATATTAATATTTCGAGACAAAGCAGTAATAACTAAATGCAAAGTACAGTAAAACAGCTAAACAGGGGAACGCTGTGCTGTGTCTGATGCCTATGCACTCCATCTTTTTCCACTTGGCTGAAAATAGCCAGAGGCCCTATCTGCAAGGTCTTATTGCATGGTTTTTCTATCCTTGTCCCTATTACGCAGATTTACAATCCTTCATCTAGCTATCATTGCTTCTTCTTCTTGGTGAAGATAAAATCCTAGAGATAGGACTTTTTATTAATTGGAATTTGAATGGCTTCTAAAGTGAGCTGGTAGCTTTTATTATGAGTTACTATTTTTGTTAGTGCTCTGGTGACTTGCTGTGCCCACAAGGCTTGGCACTTTTAATGTCAGTTTTGAAAAAAAGATTTTTTTTTTTTTTTGACAGGCAGAGTGGACAGTGAGAGAGAGAGACAGAGAGAAAGGTCTTCCTTTTGCCGTTGGTTCACCCTCCAATGGCCGCCGCGGCTGGCGCACCGCGCTGATCCGATGGCAGGAGCCAGGAGCCAGGTGCTTCTCCTGGTCTCCCATGGGGTGCAGGGCCCAAGCATTTGGGCCATCCTCCACTGCACTCCCTGGCCACAGCAGAGAGCTGGCCTGGAAGAGGGGCAACCGGGACAGAATCCGGCGCCCCAACCGGGACTAGAACCTGGTGTGCCGGCGCCGCTAGGCGGAGGATTAGCCTAGTGAGCCGCGGCACCGGCCCAAAAAGATTTTTTTATTTTTTATTTTTATTTTTTTTGACAGGCAGAGTGGGCAATGAGAGAGACAGAGAGAAAGGTCTTCCTTTGCCGTTGGTTCACCCTCCAATGGCCGCCGTGGCCAGTGCGCTGTGGCCGGCGCACCGCACTGATCCGATGGCAGGAGCCAGGTACTTATCCTGGTCTCCCATGGGGTGCAGGGCCCAAGCACTTGGGCTATCCTCCGCTGCACTCCCTGGCCACAGCAGAGAGCTGGCCTGGAAGAGGGGCAACCAGGACAGAATCCGGCGCCCCGACCGGGACTAGAACCCGCTGTGCCAGCGCCGCAAGGTGGAGGATTAGCCTAGTGAGCCACAGCGCCGGCCAAAAAAGAGATTTTTTTTTAAAAAAAATGAAAACATAGGTCACATTTAGCAAAAGCATCCTCACTACCTTGAAAGAATTAAAAATATACCATTAACTGAAAGAAGTTGCATAAATGCACGAACCCATTAAAAAAACCTAGATGTATTATGTATGTGTGTATGCATATACACACATAGAAAATACACATAATATTTATGGAGGATATATAAAACACTATAGTAGTGGTTACATCTGGAAAGTGAATTTCAAGAACTGAAGAAGTAAAGTAATATTTAAATTTTTTACTTTATAACTTATTTGAATGCCTTTATTAAATAAATAAAAGCCTAGGGAGGTGTTTAACCTAGTATTTAAGATGCCTGGTTTCCTCATCTGAGTGCCTGGGTTCCATTCCAGGCTCTGGCTCCTGACTCCAGCTTCCTGGTAATGTGAACCTTGGGAGGCAATAGTGATGGCTCACATCAATGGGTTCCTGCCACTCATGGGGGAGACCTGGATTATACTCCCAGCTCCTGGTTTCAGCTCCGGCCCATTCCTGACTGTGGCAAGCATTTGGCGAGTGGACCAATGGATAGGATGATGGGAGCTCACTTGCTCTCTCTCTCAAATAAAAAAAAATTAAAAAATTTTTAAGTCTAGTAAAATTTAAATATAAACTGACCTCTAACAACCGCTTTTCCCAGTGGTTGAGTTCAGTGCCCATACCACCCTGATTTTCAAGCTCCATTCCCTCCAGAACTGGACAGTTAAAATGTTTTCGTGCTTCATCCTAAGAATGAGAAAAAATATAAATGACAAACTCTATATAACATGGATATAATAAAGTAGACATTAAAGAATGACTTTGGTGATAACTTCTTTTAAAAATATGGTTTTTAATATAAATAAAACATTTTGAGGCTGTCACATTCTTTGCTAGAAAATTACTTTTTCTTAAAATTTTAAGTTATATATACGAAAAAGTTATAAACTAGAGTGATTGCCATTTGTAACTCTTACATTGATGATTTTTAAAGCTTTCCTTATGGATTGATAATTAGTAACTGTATATATTTATGGGGTAAAAGTTTATGAATATAGTGCAGAATAATTAAATCAAACCAATTAACATACCCATCACCTTAAGTACTTTTTTTAATGGTGAGAAAATGTGAAATTTACTCCCTTAGCAATTTTTAAATGTGCAAGACACTGTTATTAACTATATCCATCCTCCTAGGCAACAGAAAAATAAAACCATATCCCTCATGAGATTTCTATACCCTTTGCCTATCATCTTCTCATGCCCTGATATTCCTACGTACATGACCACATTCTGCTTTCTGCTTCTCTGAGTTCCACTATTTTAGATTTTACAAGTGAGAACATGAGAAAGTATTTATGTTTCTGTGCATGGCTTATATCACTTAGCATGTTCTCCAACTCTAACCTTTTTTTTTTTTAAGATTTATTTATTTATTTGAAAGTCAGAGTTAGAGAAAGAGAAGGAGAGGCAGAGAGAGAGGTCTTTCATCTGCTGGTTCACTCCCCAATTGGCCGCAATGGCCAGAGCTGCGCCGATAAGAAGGAGTCAGGAGCTTCTTCTGGGTCTCACACACGAGTGCAGGGGCCCAAGGACTTGGGCTATCTTTCACTGCTTTCCCAGTCCATAGCAGAGAGCTAGATTGGAAGTGGAGTACTTTTTCATATACATTTTGGCTGTCTTCTTTTAAGAAATGTCTGTATAGGAACCAGCGCCATGGCTCACTTGGTTAATCCTCCACCTGTGGCAGCGGCATCCCAAATGGGTGCCAGGTTCTAGCCCCAGTTGCTCCTCTTCCAGTCCAGCTCTCTGCTGTGGCCTGGGAAGGCAGTGGGAGCCCCTGCACCCGTACGGGAGACCAGGAAGAAGCTGCTGGCTCCTGGCTTCAGATCAGCACAGCGCCGGCAGTGGCGGCTATTTGGGGGGTGAACCAACAGAAGGAAGACCTTTCTCTCTGTCTCTGTCTATAACTCTGTCAAATAAAAAATTTAAAAAAGAGAAATTTCTGTTTAGTTTCCATGCTCATTTTAAGCTGGGTTTTTAGTTTCCTGGCTCTTTTCAGTAGCTTGAGTTTCTTATATATTTCAGATATTAATTCCTTATCAGATGTACAGTATGCAAATATCCTCTCCTACTCTGCAGGTTGTCTCTTCACTCAGTTGTTTCTTTTGCTGGTGTGTAGAAGCTTTTTGGTTTTATATAATCTCATTTTTTTTTGTTGCCTATGTTTTTGGGGTCAAATCTAAAAAAAAACATTGTCTGGACAAATGCAATGCTTTCCCTTCTATGTTTTCTTGTAGCAGTTTTGTTCTTATATCTAAATGTTTATTACATTTTGAGTTGATTCTGGTATATGGTGTGAGATACAGGTCTGATTTCATTTTTCTGCATATGAATATCCAGTTTTCCCAACGCCATTTACTGAAAAGAGTATCCACTTCCCATTGTGTATTCTTGGCACCTTTGTCAAAAATCAGCTGACTGGACATGCAAGGGTTTACTTCTGGGATCTCTATTCTGTCTCACTAGTTGATGCATCTACTTTTATGCTACTACTGTGCTGTTTTAAAGACAGTAGTTGTAGAATACACAGTAGTACCCCCTTATCAGTGGGGATATGTTCCAAGACCCAGTACATGCCTGAAGACCTCAGACAGTACAAAATCTAATATATGCATGTTTTTCCCTATACATGGGATCATTTTGTAAAACCCCTTTTTATTTAAAATCTTTTATTTTCTAAATGTTTACTTCCTTCTCACAATAAAAGACTTTTTATAACTTATTTGAGAGGTAAGAAAGAGAGAACACATAAATTGAGAAAGAGGGGGCTGGCGATGTGACCTAGTAGGCTAAGCCTCTGCCTATGGCGCTGGCATCCTATATGGGCGCTGGTTGCTCCTCTTCAGATCCAGCTCCCTGCTGAGGGTCTAGGAAAGCAGAGGAAGATGGGGGTCGGTGCCATGGCACAGTAGGTTTAATCCTCCGCCTGCAGTGCTGGTATCCCACATGGGCGCTGGTTCTAGTCCCAGCTGCTCCTCTTCCGATCCAGCTCTCTGCTATGGCCTGAGAAAGCAGTAGAAGATGGCCCAAGTCTTTGGGCCCCTGCACCAAGGAGACCCGGAAGAAGCTCCTGGCTCCTGGCTTCGGATCGGCGCAGCTCCGGCCATTGTGACCATTTGGGGAATGAACCAATGGAAGGAAGACCTCTCTGTGTCTCTCCCTCTCACTGTCTGTAACTCTACCTTTTAAATAAATAAAATCTAGAAAGAAAGGAAGGAAGGAATGAAGGAAGGAAGGGAGGGAGGGAGGAAAGAAGGAAGGAGGAAGGAGGAAGGAAGGAAGGAAGCAAGCAAGCAAGCAAGCACAGGAAGATGGCCCAAATGCATGTGCCCCTGTGAGACTCAGAAGAAGTTAGTTCCTGGCTCCTGGCTCTTGATCAGCTCAGCTCCAGCTATTGGGTCATTTGGGGAATGACCCAGTGGATGGAAGACCCTTCTCTCCATCTCTCCCTCTCTGTAGTTCTGCCTATCAAATAAATAAATAAATAAATATTTTTTAAAAATAGAGAGGCCGGCGCCGCGGCTCACTAGGCTAATCCTCCGCCTTGCGGTGCCGGCACACCGGGTTCTAGTCCCGGTCAGGGCGCCAGATTCTGTCCCGGTTGCCCCTCTTCCAGGCCAGCTCTCTGCTGTGGCCAGGGAGTGCAGTGGAGGATGGCCCAAGTGCTTGGGCCCTGCACCCTATGGGAGACCAGGAGAAGCACCTGGCTCCTGCCATCGGATCAGAGCAGTGCGCCAGCCGCGGCGGCCATTGGAGGGTGAACCAACGGCAAAGGAAGACCTTTCTCTCTATCTCTCTCTCTCACTGTCCACTCTGCCTGTCAAAATAATAATAATAATAAATAAATAAAAATAGAGAAAGAGAGCTCCCCTTGACTGCTTCACTCCCCAAATTCCTACAATGGTGGGGACTAAACCAAGACAAAAGCCAGAGCTGGGATCTTAATCCAGGTCTCCCATGTTGATGGCAAGAACTCAATCTACTGGAGCCATCACCTGGTGCTTCCAAGAGTCTTCACTGGAGGCAACACTGTGGTGGTAGGTTAATCCTGTGCCTACCGTGCTGGCATCCCATGTGGGCACCGGTTCAAGACTAGCTGCTCCACTTCTGATCCAGCTCCCTGCTGGTGGCCTGGGAAGCCAGTGGAAGATGGCCCAAGTGCTTGGGCCACTGCACCTACATGAGAGACCCAGAAGAAGCTGATGGTTCCTGGCTTTGGATCAGCCCAACTCTAGCTATTGTGGCCATTTGGGGAGTGATCCAGCAGATGGAAAACCTTTCTGCCTCTCCAATAAATAAATAAATCTTTTAAAACAAGACAAAAGTCTTCATTGGTGAGAAATTGGAAACGGCAGCCACGGCCAGGAATCAAACCCGAGCACTCAGATGTAGGATATCAGCTGGGCCAAATGCCTGCCTCTGATATTGGAATTTGGATAGGAGTTGAGTAGTGATACGTAGAATACTTTAGGTGATATGGACATTTTATTTTATTTTTAAACTTATTTGAGAAGCAAAGAAGGAAAGGCTGGTATTATGGTTCAGTGCATTAAACCACTGCTTGTGGGTCCGGCGCTGTGGCATAGCGGGTAAAGCCACTGCCTGCAGTGCCAGCATCCCATATGGGCACCGGTTCCAGTTCTGGCTGCTCCTCTTCCTATCCAGCTCTCTGTTATGGCCTGGGGAAGCAATGGAAGATGGCCTAACTCCTTGGGCCCCTGCACCCACGTGGAAGACCCAGAAGAAGACCCTGTCTCCTGGCTTTGGGTCGGTGCAGCTCCAGCTGCTGCAGCAATTTAGGAGTGAACCAGTGGATGGAAGACCTCCCTCTCTCTCTCTCTCTCTCTCTCTCTCTCTTTCTCTGCCTCTCTGTGTAACTCTGACTTTCAAATAAATAAATACATCTTTTAAAAAATAAACCACTGCTTGGGATACTGGAAGCTCATAAGCCAATTTGAGTGCCAGCTGCTCTGCTTCTGAGCCAACTTCCTGCTCATGTGCCTGGGAAGGCAGTGGAAGATGGACCAACTTGGGCCCTTGCACCCATGTGAGAAATCAGGATAGAGTTCCTGGCTCCTGCTTTCAGCCTGATCCAGACTTGGCTGATGTGACCAACTGGGGAGTGAACCAGTATATGGACAATCTGAATTTTCCTCTCTCTGTTGCTCTTACAAATAAATAAGTAAATAGATAGAAAGATCTCAAAAAGCGAGCAAGCGAGTGAGAGAGATTCCCACCTGCTGGTTCATTCCCCAAATGCCCACAATGGGCAGGGCTGGGCAGAGGTCAAAGCCGAGAGTCCAGAACTTAAGCCAGGTCTCCCACATGGGTGACAGGGACTCTACTACTTGAGCCATCACTGCTGCCTCTCAGAGTCTGCATTAGCAGGAAGCTGGAATCAGGAGCTGGAACCAAATACTGAACTGATGTATTCCAATATGGGAGGCAGTCTCTTAATTGTTAGGCCAAACACCTGACCTGATATCTTAATAATGCTAATTTTTTGATTGGGCATTTGGTACAGCAATTAAGCACCACTTTGGACACTCATCCCATGTAGGAGTGCCTGGGATCCAGACTTGTTTTCATTCCCAATTCCAGTTTCCTGCTAATGTGCACAAATGGGTGGCAGCAGTGATACCTGAAGAAGTTAGGTACTAGGGCTGGCATTGTGACATAGTAGA